TTTCCACCATGATTTGCAAACAAATTCTTTAAAAATCAGACAATGTGATTTTCTGGATGTTTTTTCCCATTTTTCCCATTTCATAGTTGAGGTATACCTATGATGAAAATTACAGGCCTCTCTCATCTTTTTAAGTGGGAGAACCTGCACAATTGGTGGCTGACTAAATACTTTTTTGCCTCACTGTATGTAAAAGACTTACATGGCCCCCCATCTTATGTTCCTCAATTGTGGGTTGTATGGATGAAGGGGTTTCTTTAAGTACATTTACATTTTTTCTGAGTAAATGTGGAAAGAATTGCTTTCCACGGGAGAATGATACAGGTAGTCCTCGCTTAGCGATCACAGTTGGGACCAGCATCTCAGTTGCTAAGCAGAAAAATCATGTGACTGTGACAGGCTTACGATGGCACTTCCCATTCAGTTGTTAAGCAAATCACCCTGGTTGTTAAGTGAGACATCACATGACCATGACTTGCAATTTTACTTCTGCATTCTCCATTAACTCTGCTTGTCGGGAGCTGGTTGTGAATCATGCAAATGGTGATCATGTGACTGTGGGATGCTGCAACTTTCTTAATGCATGCTGGTTGCAAAGTGCCTGAATGGCAATCACATTACCACAGGACACTGTTAAAGTCATAAATGCAAGGACTGGTCACAAAGCTTTTTTTTTTTTTACACTGTCATAACTTCAAACGGTTGCTAAATGAGGCAGTCAGTAAGCAAGGACTACTTGTACTAAAAATAAAGCTCCTATGACTGGTCTGCAAAAATTTGTATGACCACTAAATGCCACTATAGTTTTCTTTACTTCCATGCTGCCATCTGCTGGATGTCCAGATTATGCAGTCCAGATCTGGTATCCCTAGCTAGATTTTTTTTCTTCCCTTCTAAAAGAAAAGTGGATCTAAGTACGTGATTAAATATTCAGTAATTCAGGCAGTTTTATCTTGCAGTATACTCTCTGAAATGGAAAATGCAAAAAAAAAAAAGATTATTTTAAAATCTAAGATGCAAAAAAATACCTTCCTACAGGCTAAAAATATTGGCTATCTTTCTTTAACTCTTTGGGGAAATCTTTAGTGAAATCGGATAGTGAATATTGATGGTAGCTCCCTGTTGCATTAAAACTGAGGGTTTAAAGCACTAAAGGAATGTTTCAGTCTGAAGCTCATTTTTTAAGACTCAAAATCTTATGGGATTTGGTTGGAGTTTCTTATGGTGTACATTTGGGATTAGGTTGTAACTATTAGCTGTTTTTCTTAGTATTTACTATTAATATTTTTATACTGTCTTTTAGCTAAACAGCTGTCAAGATGCTATGTAAAAAGAAAACTAAAACAATGAAAAACATAAAAAGCAACAGTAACTCTATTTAAAAGCAAAACATCTTAATAGTTGAGTGAGTTAGACCCTACTGCTCTTTTGGAAGAGCCTGTTGTCTAACTGCCCACAACATAATTGGCTGCAGGAAAGTAAAATAGGGCACTGAGGCTAAGTACATGTGCATTCCTTGGACTAAATAGGCAGAGGGAGAAATTCATGTATAAAATGGAGATAGAATGCTCATGAATATGCACTCCCCACCCCATAGATCCCTTGTTATTGAATAGGGGTGAGTAGGCTATGTCGTGAAGGCCAGTGGCACACACAGCCTCACCTTCCCCTCACCTAGAACATGCTACGGGTTCTTCCTTAGAGCTGAGAATCCCAGCCAAGTGCAGATTTTGGATCATAAATAAGAGACCCCTCCATGGATGACTGAAGGTATGTACACTCCTTTCTCAATGCCAGATGTGCAGCTATGATGAGGGATTCCCACAACGTAAGTAGGAGCAGAGCATCGGTGCAGTCTGCATTTCTTCTTTTTTTTTAATAACTATATTAGGTTTTTCTGCCTGAGTAATATTATTATAGACATAAAAACTAACAAGACCCAATAATTAAGATAGAAAGTAGAGAAGAGAAAAAGGTAAAGAATGAAAAAGAAAACAAAGTCAAAAGTGCGGAAAGAAAAAGAAAATCAAAAGAAAAATGACTTTCGACTTTCTTTTACAATAGATATACGTATAAGTTTGCTTTAAGCTCTTACTCTAAGTTTACAACATAACTTCATTTTTTTTATTGTCTACTTGCGCATCCCGCTATTTCTTAATTTTGGTGGTAGCTTTGACAAGTGCAAGTGAGCTCTTAATGTTCAGCAGAGAATTCAGAAGCCGGGTTTGAGGCTACAGTGGTGCAAATGAAGGCTGGTACTTCTACAGCAAAACCACTTAGGCTACACCATTGCATCATTACTTGGGGCTAAATTTTGTTGATCCCTGGGTTGGTTATTTCTGAGCTGACCTACCAACGTTGGGCTGTCCTTAGTCAAGCTCCTTTTAACACTGCAATCCTAGGAGTGAATACTGTATGCTCTCTTAACACAGTTGGACATACTTCTCAGTAAGACCCACATTGGAATGCACTGAATGAAAGATGAGTATTCTTTTGCTTGTTACATATCTCCTGCAGTTGTAAAGATTCCTGAGAAGAGACCCTGCAACTGCGTAGCAAATGCACCTTTTAGCTCTGAATAAATGAGGGCCCCGATTCTCTCATGGTTTTTAACTATTTTCTGCATTATTATACCTTTGCTGTGGAGATTTGTATTTCAGGAATATTAAAATTATGTCTGCTGAATAGCCTACTGGTTGGGATAACCTTTTATTGCTGATATTTCATGAGAAGAGGACATTTCAGCATTTTTTTCCATCTAGTTGTGTTTTTGGGCAGAGTTAGAAAATCGCATGGAAAGGAGAAACTGGTTTATGCTTCACAATTGAGATGAGCAAACTGCATCACAGGTGTGCTTTTGAAAGCACACGTGGCTGCAGGCTGCACATTTTTCAGCCCCTCCTTCGTCCTCCTTTGACTTGGATTTTCCATTGTTCATTGTGTTACTGGTAATGCCTATGCTAGCCTTTTCAAGGAGAAAGAAGCAAAAAAGAAATAAGCCTGAGTTTTGTTTGCTTTGTCTCACATACCTCTGTGTATTTCCTTCATAATTTCTCGCATCATTCAGTGACATAATGAATGTGACTTGCACTAAAAAACAGTTCACCCTTGGAATCTCCTAAAAAGTCTGATTTCTCTAAATATTTGCTTCTTTGATATATGCTAATGTTGCCTGTTTCTTATAACAGGTTATCTATTTTTTTTCAGTGAGTTCTCTCCTGTCCCTAAAGGATATCAGATTTTGTCAAAGGACCACTTCATTCTTGAAATTTCTTTTTTCATTATTGGCTATAAACCATAATAAACGAACAGCTAATAATGAGGATCTTGCAGTAGGAAATTATGCCTAATTCTTTCCATGTGCATGCAGAAAAATACCACAAATAGGTGAACTGTGGTAAATTTGAGCCTGAAATCTTATTATTTGCAGCATCTCTGCATCTGAAGAAACTGAAGAATTCCACTACACCAATACTACTGCCACCACCCATTTGCATTATTTCTACATCCCACTCCTTTTTGGATATGCTTTAGGTATTTGTGGTTGTGTAATGTGCTCATATTTCATATCAGAGCCGGGCAGGGGATTAAAGTTTCCATAATTTCCTGGGATAGAGGTATACAAACTATAGAATGGCCCCAGAGCTTTCCCTTCCCCCCAAAAGGCTGACATCAAATTGTAATTTCTCATGAGACAGGAGAAGAAAATTATTGTATTCGTAGGAAGTAACATCAACTAGATTTTTATTCCTCTCCTTTTAATTTAAACCAAAACCAAATTTAGTTTGTTGTACTGGCCCCGGCATTTGAAATGCAGGCTCTGGCATATCACTCCAAAGCCAGGTAGAACCCTTGGCCTAAAACTGGCTGTGCCCCTCTGTGCAGCTGGAAATCTGACACCTCTGAAGAGCTCTAGGTAGAAGAAACAGACTTCTTATGTTCCCTCCTGAATGTTCTCCGTGGCTTCTCAGTGCCTGATTGGCAAAAGGCCAAACTGTGTTCTTACAAAGCCTGAAACACAGGTTGTTAATACAGGTATCACTTTTGAAGGATTAGTGTTGTGATTGCTCCTCCCAGTTGGACTAGCGAGTGAGGAGAGTCGATCTAATTGGAAAAATAATACTATTACTCAGGCAGAAGCAGCCTGCTGGATAGAGATTTATATAGGCTGGTTGGAGGAGTTATCTGTCTGCGTAGACACAAACATACTGCAGCTTGGAAGATTTCAAGGCTGTTTTTTTTTTTCTTCTAGTTTCTTACATCTAATGAGCCATTTTCCTTCCAGTGTTTAACTCTACGTATGATATCTTATTGTAGGATATTAATCATGTGTCTTCCGGTTAATATAATCTGATTTCAGCAATCAAGAATAGTTTCTGATTTATATAATACCCACTGTCTATAATATAGGATTAAAGATGTCCTACATTAGGTGTGTCCTGTGGAACACCTTTCCCTCTGAGATCCAGCAGGCCCCCACCCTTTTAGCCTTCCAGAAGGCCTT